CTTATGTCTGGCTTGTTGTCAGATATATCGTAGTTTCCGATTTTCTAAATGAAAATGGTCTTAATAGTATTGAAATTATTGTCGTAGTTTCTGACTTATAAAAACATTAATTCTAATATTAAAAATCTCAGTTCATAGCTTTTCATTGAAAATTCTTTTATAATGAAAATGTAGATTCTGGCCTATTGACAATTTCTTGATATTAAAAATGTCGTATTTTTGGGCTTTTAAATTGTCGTGTTGTCTGTGCAGACTATTTTCTTGTGTTACTTGTCGCTATGACGTGTGTGCATATTTCTTTGTGACCCTTTCTTCACATTTTCTTCACGACATTTTCTTCACGTCCTTTTCCATAGAACGGTGCAGGGGACGAGGTTTTGGGCGAGGGATGAAAACGAGGCTAATAATAATTTCTTTCTCTCTATTGTAGACAGTTCTGGGGGAGGGGGGATAGGGATATGGATTATAAATTGAGTTGTTACAACAGAGAAGGGGGGGGGGGGCGGTTGTCCTCGTGAATATGATCGCACGTGAATCGAAATTTCATTTCCTGATTCCAGTCTTATTGAGTTTCACCCACAGCGAATGTGTGTATTTGTTTTCGGGAATGTGTGTCTATTTATAACGTGTGTGTGTGTGTTAAATAAAACTGTGTGTGTAGGATTTGTGTCCGTGGGATTGATAAAGTAATATTTCTGTGATTTTCTTTTTTTTTATTTGTGTTAAGGCCCATTTTAAGGTGATAGTTTTACCGTTCAGTAGCCTACTTGCGTGGTTTGTTAATTACCACATAATTTGTTTTCCTGATGGTAAGATTGCCGTGCTGGTATAAGCACCAAATTTTGTAAAACCACATATTTGAATAATATTTGAGCAACCATGTTTAACAAAGGTAATTTCAATTTGCCTTATGGTTAGCTACAATATCACCATCACCGTTATTGATTTAGTAGTGGTACGATTCTTATTTTCACCCTACCCTGAAAATTCGCATGTATATGTTGCTGTGTTGTTGTTTTGTTTTTTACTATGTCTTGGTGTAGGAAAACAAGTTGAAAAGATCAAGCACGCCGCCATGTTAAAGATCTCATCAAAACGTAATTTTAAGTAACAGGGACTGTGTGTGACAGCCGCCATCATGTGTGTTATTGGTTGTCACCAGTGTGACATTTGTGACATTTGTCACCGGATGAAATTTATCCCTGAATTAACGCGCTGAGCACTCCGGGCTGTCTCGCTGGTTATGTAAACAATCACGTGACGCCCGTACCCGCCCCCTTCACAAGTTGTATTGTCTGTCATAACACATTGTCTGATATCGTAGCTCGTCTGTCAACATATAATGACGGTCATACACATTTCCCGTCATCAGATATTATCTGTCATCTCACATCAGCTACTTGAAATCTAAAGTGTTGCTGCGCGTTTAAAAAGAAGATTTTTTTTGTTGAGAACTGTATCTAGCCATGTCGATACAACTCAAGGCGTGTTTTGTTTTTTTGTTTTTTTTTTTGCTATGAGAAGCGACTATTTAAAAAATGCATTATATTGGTGTATGAAAGCAGGTTGCCCCGACTCTTGGTATTAAACGCCGTACGTGCATACCGGTGATCATCTACTTTTAGCAGATGAGGCTCGTTAGCTGGGGACAGCCACTCTTCTAGGAGAGACAACTCCAAAATTAAACAACTGCTGCCTTGTAGTTTGTTCTTGGTTAGACAAAGGCTATGGAAGCAAATCCAAAAGAAAAGCAGGCTGAAATCGGAGTCAATGGCCTCAATGGCGCATAAACAGTTGACACGTAACGCTTAATTGTGTTGAAGGCGTGGTCGAGTCGGCAAAAAGCTCATGGTTGATAAATTCGAACAAAGCCTCGAGTTTAAACCCACTGGCGGATAAATCTCGATCCCCTTCAACACTTATAATTAAGAACGAAGAAGAAGAAGAATAAGAAGATCTACTTTTACCAGAGGGTGTTTTTTTTTTTTTTTTGCTCGGCTGCCATGATGAGGTACCAATAGATGTAGCAATGACGTCACTCTGTCAGATAAACTGTTGTCTCCTGACTGCAACGCAGTTGTTTGTACAGTAGTCTATCGGGGCACACACACTTTGACATCACACGATGATGTCATACACTGACATCACGTTTTGACATCACACCCTGTCATTACACGAATGTATGACAAACAATCATCACACCCCGACATTACACGAATGTAACACAAACAATCATCACACCCTGTCATTACACGAATGCAACACAAACAATCATCATACACTGACATAAAACACCGACATGTTTAAAAAACTATAATGACACTGATTCAAGTATGATACATTGACGTCACGCTAATAGTCACACGTCCACCAGCCCTCATACATAAAACACTGACCTCCCACTGTTTGACGTCACTCACACTAACTCGACACCAGCTGTGATTGGCCCGACTAATTTAGCTGGGAGAAGAAAAAATCAGACTTGAAACTCGACGACCGCTTCTCTAGAAACCCACAGTCTAGTATGATCTCTAGAAACCCATAGACTGGGATGATCTCATGTCGACTCAAACCCACACGAAGTCGTCGCTCCCCCACCCCCACTCAGGGGCCTATGCATCCCCCGCACTCAAATATAATTACATTTTCATTAGATTTGTAACAGGAGCCCCCAGCCCTCCCCCACCCAGCTCGTCCCCCATTTCTTCAGTTGTTTTCACGTTTCGTCTTTGCTTTGAATTTGTCACGAGCGAGCCCCACAATTTCTTTTGACGACTTTGGCCGAATGAAAAAAAAAAATCAAATTAAAAGAAAAAAAATACATGACAAACGTCTATTAGATTGCATCATTACCACGACTAGTTGCCGAATTTATTTTTATTTTTATCCACACAAAAAAAAAAAAAAAGAAAAATAAAAAAATAGCAATTATATTTTTGTGATAGCAACATGTTTGTTCTGCGTCGGATTAATCGAACGGCGACTAAACTAATCTAGCGCCGCTGAAAGTTTTATTGAAGGGAATTTCAAACAAGGTTTGAAAAGTTGGCATTAACACGCAGTAACCCCATCCCCTTAGTTTGGTACACCATACTCTCTAAACTGATAGTTTGGTACACCATACTCTCTAAACTGATAGTTGGCATACGTTAACTGCCTATACTAAAAGCAGCAGTAGTAAAGAGTTCTGCCTATTCTGATCGTGAGAACTAGTTATGCTACTGGTAGGCTGATTATTTGGGAAAAATAAGTGTTCAATAGCATAGTCATTTCTGTTATTATAAAATGATTTTAAAATTAGATTTCTGCTTCTCTTTAGCATTTGTAATATGAGACATATTTTAAATTAAAAGTCCTTAGTCTTTTTATCTTTGGTAGTTAATTAGTTGTATACTTCCATAGTCGGGACACATCTGCTAGTTTCTTTACCATTACTAGTTTATAACTACCATCGTGTTGGATGGAACTATCCTAAAGCTCCTTAGCTTGTTCTAAATGATGCATGTTAAACAGGTTAGAATGTCAAAACAAAACCTTTCAGTTGCATGGTGCAAAATATAGACACAAAAATATGTAGAAATGAAGAAATTCCAATTAGTTTTACTGTACACGTGTGTACACTAATTGTTGACAAAAAATATTGTTTATCTTTCTTGTCCTTCTGACCACAATCAACATGCATTCTCCCCAATCACGCTGCTCTGTTGAGATACATGTATATCAAGCAAGAGCAATCACTCTGACTGTGAATTGTTCTATCTGCTGGCAGAGTAACGAGCCTTGGGGGAACTGTTTTATTTGGCGCCCTGTTTACACAGCGACGTCTCTGACGGGTTTTTGTTTACATCTGATAAGGTGATCACGGAGCTTTAAGAAAATCATAATTACCTCCCTTGATTTATTGACGCGCCGAGCTTAAAGTTCGCGGAGAGATCCGGGGAGTAAATTGCACAATCAGCTTAATACGTGTGTGTGTGGGGGGGTGGGGGGGGGGGTGTTTTCTGTGGTGTGCTTTATTGATATTGTTTATGCATTTTGTGTTTATTTGTGCGTGTGTGTGTGTCTGTGTTAGGGTGATTGTATGTCTGGAATAAGTCCATAAACAGCACATTTGGGTTTGTTGTATACTCCTCTGTTTGGTATGAGTGTATGTGTACTCCAGGATTGCGTGTAGGGTGTATTTGTGTGATTTAATCTTGAAATGTGTAGCATGTATCCTTGTTTTTTTGTGTGGTGTGTACGTGTGTGTGTAGTTATGCTGTGTAGTTGCACGTTCATGTATGTCCACGTGTGTGTACAGTGTGTGTTATTATGCTGTGTGTTTTCACGTGCGTGTATGTATACGTGTGTTTTGGTTGCACGTACATGCATGTACACGTGTGTGTACAGTGTATGTGCACGTATTGTGTAAATGCTCACATATTACTGAGGCGCGTGATTGCTAATAACAGTTGTCTAAAATCAACAAAAAAGCCATCCCCTGAGATTGCCATGATATTGTACACATAAAGGCCATTGTCTCGCAAGGCCATTATTTATTGGCCATGACATATTGGCCATCCCCAAGTGGCCAGTTTTGTAACTCAGATCCCGCTAACAATATTTTACAGCTGAAATCTCCCGTCTTTAGACGCGACAAATCTTAAGCCAACAGATTAACCCACCCGTCTTATACATTATGCAAAGTTTATTTAAGTGCTCAGTCACGTGGCTCTTGTCACGTGGCTCCCGTCACGTGATGAGCTTCAGATTTTACTCCAGTTAATGATGAATAATTAATTGTATTATGTTCGTGTAGGAAAAACAAACGTTGAAAAACAAACAAGGTGTTGATTTTATGCTGGAAACTTGTACAGGAAAACTGTTTTAGTGATATCAGAAGAGATGCGTTTATTTTAATCTATTATTTGCGTTTAAAATTGTGTTACGAACATGTTTAATAGGGCACGTGAATTGGTATTTCTATTAAGATGTGGTGTTTTGTGTTCAGTATGGATAAAGAACTAACTTTGTTGTGACCACCATGCGCACTGGTCAGAAATATAAACCATTGACCTAAATGAACTGGTGTTTTGTTAACGCGCAGTATGGCGAATGGGATCTCGTCTGCAAATAGGGCGCCGGAAGTCCGGTGCGTCATGTGACCGCGGGGAGCTAGCCCGAGCGAGACGCCCGCAGCATGGCGCCCAAGTCCCTCCTGTGCTCGTGTTTCGCCCTGTGCCGGCAGTGTTGCAAGAAGAAGAGGCAGCGCTCGCGGAGTCTGATACCCTCCAAGAAGAAAGGCAGCGGGGGAGCGGGCGCCGGCGGGGGCACGACGGAGGATGATGAGGATGATTACAGTGAGGATGAGGAGGAGGAGGAGGCAGAGGAGGACGTGGATAAAAATCCAGTGGGGGACTCGCGGTACAGCGCTTTTGATTCGCCACTTTTTCGTCGCAACAGTGTCAATGTAGACCCAGGTATAAATGTCAATGTAGACCCAGGTATAAGTGTCAATGTAGACCCAGGTATAAATGTATAAACATAGTGTAAATTTAGACCCAGGTATAAGTGTCAATGTAGACCCAGGTATAAGTTTCAATGTAGACCCAGGTATACATGTCAATGTTGACCCTGGTATAAGTGTCAATGTAGACCCAGGTATAAATGTCAATGTAGACCCAGGTATAAATGTCAATGTTGACCCTGGTATAAGTGTCAATGTAGACCCAGGTATAAGTGTTAATGTAGACCCAGGTATAAGTTTCAATGTAGACCCAGGTATAAATGTCAATGTTGACACAGGTATAAATGTCTAAACATACAGTGTCAATTTGACCCAGGTATATGTGTGTATAAATATACAGCATTAATGTTGACCCATATGTGTGTCTAAACATAATGTATTAATTTGAACCCACGTCTGTGCGTATTTAAGAATACAGTATTAATGTAGACCCATGTATTGTGTGAGTGTGTGCAGAGGCGTAGCGAAGGGGGTGGGCAAAGGGGTAGATATGTCCCCGGGCGCTGATCATAGGGGGCGCCAAATGGGTTGGAAAAACAAATTAAAATCTCATTTTAGCTGCATTTTTTCTTTATAAATATATATATATATATATATATATATATATATATATATATATATATATATATATATATATATATATATATATATATATATATATTATATAAGGGGGGGTGCAAATCGAAAATTGAAAGGTTGATCCCGAGGGGGGCGCCAAATTGAAAGTTTGTCCCCGGGCGCCGGGAAGGGTCGCTACGCCTCTGAGTGTATGTGTGTGTGAGAGAGAGAGAGAGAGAGAGAGAGAGAGAGAGAGAGAGAGAGAGAGAGACTATACGATGTTAATCTAGATCTACATTTAGAAATTGTTAACGTGGCCATTTTATTTCAACGAAGGCAATTAATTGTCTACTGACGTTTCTACTGTACTAATTAACCTCTCATTATGGTCAGCTGTCTAGTTTTGTTCCGTGTTTCACGTATTGGTTTTTTCCTACCTTTCACCTGTAACAAAACGAACGATGTTTTACCTAGGTCTCTGTTGGTTTTAGTGTGTATTCTAATTCTTCTTCATTTCGGGTTGCTTACCTCAGCCTTACAGTTATTGTTTCCTAATCAGAGGTGTAAATAGAAATAAAGTTACCCTCCATCTTAAACATATATGGGGGGGGGGGGGGGGGGGGGGCTTGACCCAACTCACACAACACACAAACGCGTAGGCTCAACAAAGACTAATACTTTCACTACTAGCCCATATAACTTTACTTAACATATTCTATAACCTTCCTCGACATTTATTTAAAAAAAAAAAGATTACGATCACTCGTCCAAAATTCCATGTAGTTATCTCCCCTTATAAATAATTATTATTTATCTCCCCTGTTTTTTAAATATTTATTTAGCAACTGCGACAAACATGCACACAGCTCATCATTCGCATGTTTACTTTCTACCGCAGTAACGTAAACAAACTTTCTAAATTAGTAAAACCAGTCTGGGTTACATTTTCAAGTATTCGATAATTAAGTGCATTATAGATAAAAGTACGGGTTATTGAGGATTATGCTAATGACTTTGTGTTGTCTACTGATATGCTTATATGTACGAAATATGTTATTTTTTAGTAGTTGTATCTTTTTATGTCTGCTAAGCAGCATCGTGACATTAATGTCGGGTAAATGGGGCATCCATTTTAAATGTAAATAAATTAAAGGCAAAATACCCCATTCACTTTCATTCTCATACCCCATTTACTTCCCTTTATATCCCGATATGTACATATTTTGTCCTTGTTTATCTCTTCAAAGTAATTTTATATTTTCAAGTAAGTTGTTTTCTATTTGTTGTAAGCTTCTCTTTACACATTTTACAGTTAATTTCCAGTTTAAAATAAAACATGATCTCATTTTTTGTCTGGCGTACAATAAGTATTCGATTACCACATTTTCAAATCTTATTAAAACAGGATCAAATACCTGTGTTAGTGTCGTCTTATCATATTCTTTTTTAATTTTTGTATTAATTCCTTAGTTTTTGTAAGCAATGTTTGCTCATATTTTGTTTTATACATTGTTTGATTTCTTTAAGTCTTCTGTCTGTATGACTGGGGATTCCAGTGTTATGTTTGTCTCTCAGTTTTATCCTCTTCCCTCCTCACGGTATGCCCAATCCATCCCTATTTGCTCACTATAATGACTCTGTCTGTTGACTATTATTTGGTATTTAGCCACAATGTTTTTAACTTCATTGTCTGTATTTAAGCCTGTTTCTTACCTGCGTATCTGATATTTTCGTTTCTACCTTGAATGTTTGTAGTAATGTATGTATTAATGTATGTATCTACCTTGAATGTCTGTATCACTGTCTGTATCTACCTTGCATGTCTGTATTAATGTCTGTATCTACCTTGAATGTCTGTATCAATGTCTGTATCTACCTTGAATGTCTGTATCACTGTCTGTATCTACCTTGAATGTCTGTATTAATGTCTGTATCTACCTTGAATGTCTGTATTAATGTCTGTATCTACCTTGAATGTCTGTATCACTGTCTGTATCTACCTTGAATGTCTGTATCACTGTCTGTATCTACCTTGAATGTCTGTATCACTGTCTGTATCTACCTTGAATGTCTGTATTAATGTATGTATTAATGTCTGTATCTATCTTGAATGTCTGTATTAATGTCTGTTTCTCCCACTGGTCTTACAGATTCCTCCCTAGAACGTGTAGATGGAGAGCGACGCGGTAGTCTGCCCTTGGTGTCACCCTACAATGACAGCATGGAGTCGGTCTCGACCTCCACCACGTCCAAGTTGGCGGTAAGTGTGGGGGGGGGGGGGGGTAGGGTGAGGGGGGGGGGGGTTCAAGTCTGGTGGACAAGGTCTCGACTGGACATCGGGGTAGTTGGATGTTGGGGTGAGGGTTAAATCTGAGGGACGGGGCGTCGATTGAGCATTAGAGCAGATTGGGGTGGGGTAGGGGGAGTGTAATTTGCTGTCTTTAACTTGACGGCTGGGAGTTGTAGGGCCCCATTTAGCATTGATTGGAGAGTCAAAATAGGAGTCAGAAAGTGTTTTGCCAAATTTAAAACTGGAATCAGAAATATTTTAGCTAAATCTAAAACTGGAATCAGAAATAGTTTAGCTAAATCTAAAACTGGAATCAGAAATAGTTTAGCTAAATCTAAAACTGGAATCAGAAATAGTTTAGCCAAATCAATAAGTGGAGTTATAAACATTTTGACCGAACCTATGGGGGGCCCAAATAGTTTGAATACAATTATTTTACCAGCGTAAATTTAGACGGAAGTTGATCAGGTCTCATAATAGCAAAGGTTTATTATCTTTCCAGAATGAAGAAAAAAAATGTTTTAAACAGTAGCATTATTTCTTAGTAAAAATGGTTTTTCCCTTGAATGCAATGAATACAACTGTGTTTGTAAGTAGATCTAGTAGGTTTCTAGATGGGTGTGAAGTAATTGCAAGGCTGTGTTTCGTAATGCAATAGGTTTGGTCTAGACTAGCAGTATAAAACAGTGTTTACATTATAAATGTAATACAGATCTGAATTCTCTAGGGCGTATGTGATAACACAACTGTGCTGTATGGTGATGTACTTGAACTCTGTGTGACAACACATTGTTGTTGTTTTTTGTTCTTTTGATTTCTGTGTTCACCTGACCCGCTCAATATTACTAATTAACATAGTCTTGATGTAACTTTTCAGAATTTTTTCACGAAGAAAGGATTTAAGAGCAACATGAAGAGGACAAAAAGCGCCACAAAGCTTGACCGGAAGAGGTCAAGTCCTAACCTGTCAGAGAACGACACGTGAGTACTATTTTACTGTTCACTTGCTGATGTTTGAAGGTCAAGTTTATTTTTAGTAACTGCTGCAGATATTAGTAGCAGGTGCACAATCCATTAGCAGACAATACACTTTTTGTATATTACAATTATTATTTGTAAGGGTTATTTATAGAAATGGTGTAATACCTTACCTAAAAGCTTATTTTTGATTTACTTTTGTTAGAAAACACCATTTGTTTGGCTTCTCAGCTGTGTTTGGAAAACATTTTTATAGCCTTCTATTTTTGCCCCAGTTTTTGTTTAGTTTTAATTTTAAAATATATTTTTTATGCAGTACAGTTTGGTTTGTTCTATTTGGTTTAGGGGGATTTTTTTGGTGTCAAAAATATATTTTATTACTTTTTTTTTATTTTGCTGATCGAATGTACCAGGAATATATTTTTGTTTATTTTATTGGGATAACATGATGTTTACTTCTTGATTGTTATAGCTTGATTGGGATAATTTGATATTTACTTGACTAAAATGATCTGATATTCACAGCAGTCTCAATACTTTGTTAACGATAGAATTTCTGTGAATTTAACACATTACTCCCGGCAAGGGAATTAACCACGAAAAATACAATCTTCTTTTTCTATGCTCTTTTAGCTTTTTTGCCTCCCCTTTTGTTGTTAGAGTTTTTCTGAAAACTTTCAAACTCCCCAAACAAATAAAAGAGGAATTAAATCTGATCCATGTTTATCACCTACACAATAGTATGACACATGTCCTGCTGACAAGTGAACTAGTTAGAACCACACCAGTGTGTGGATGAGGTAGAAACACTGACACCTGTATTCTAGGTGTTGTTGTCAATACAGTTAACTTTTGTTTTCTTGTGAGACGTTAATCTCGACAACACACCAGCACGTCGTAATGTTTCTGTCCAACGGTCTATTTACCATCGTGAGCACTAATCACTTACCGACGAGCGTGGGTCTTACTGTAATAAATATACGTTACGTTGTGGGGCTGGGGCTAAGTAATGTGACTAACCATACAATTATGTTTTAATAACGAAAATATGTAAAACGTTTTTGCTGTCATGGAGGGGATACAACTTTGAGATGTCGCCGTGTGACTTAGAATGGTTGTCTTTCTGATCATCTCCGTGAACTTGGATTGTAAATGGTTGATTTATTGTCTGTGACACGTTGTGGTCGAATGGTAGGGCGTTTGGCAGCTAGCCTGAAGGTCTCGATTTCGGATCTGGGTTCGAACTTATGTCTGTAGATCGTGCCCTCGCTCTGGTGAGTACCTGACTCAAGTTGGGGAAAGTAAAGGTACAAGTGCTGACCACACAATTCCCCCAAGTGCTGAGGCTCTAAGGAGCAACCTTCGCTTTTACTTGACTCATTTTTTGCGTGTTGTCAGCTCTGGGCGATCAATGATGCATAGTTATAAACCATGTGTGGCGTTTCGTACTCGCAACTAACGTTACTGTGATATAGGTTTCTCCAGCGAGGGAGGGGAGACGCGATTTAAATATATGGGGGAGCTGACAGTGGTTGAATTATGTATTTCAAGGGAGAAGGGCGGTACACATCCCCCCTCGGCTAAACCTTCAACTGTACGTAGTACAAAGCGTTCTCATTGTTAATTAATTACCCTCACGTGTTTAGCGCTAATTGCGCTTTCATTGTAGTACACCATAAGTTCGTTCACTACACGGGTTAAATTATCTTCCTTCTACACGTTCGGCCTCCCCTTTCGTCTGCCCGCGTCACACGGCCGACGAACCGGATGCGAGGCCGCCACCGGCGCCGGATATAACGAACCAGCGAGGCGGTTCCGGTAAGGACGTGTACAGGCTCCGACCGCCATTGCTTCTACTCGTACCGTCCCGGCCAAACGAACTACACGTCGTCGGATCTACACGCGGTTAAATGTGCTCCGCGTTGACCCGCCATGAGCCGATTCTTCAAGTACGACATTGTGACCCTCATCGAACTCATTGAGAACCGTCCGTGTTTGTGGGACAAGACTGTCGAGAACTTCAACGATAAAGTCGAGAAACTTGAAGCATGGAGGTCGGTGTGTGCTTATCTGGAGCCGGACTTTATGCAGATGGATAAAGCAGAACAACAGAAAACAGGTCAGTAGTATTCAATAGTATTTATTTACATACACTGAGTATACACAACAAGCGCACCTCAATCCTAGCTGGGTTCAGCTAAGTTCAGGTTTAAATTTTAAAATAGTCAAATAGAATCTACAGTTTAAATCTCTGGGTGTATTTTTGTAAAAAAAAAGTAGACTACGGTATCACAAGTAACGATCAAGATCTAAATAGCTAAGAACGTTTAAGTTTTCCAATCAAAATAAACCCTACACGATCACTCACTACACTGACAACACTGGCGGTCGACCAGTACCAGCTGTGTTTACAAAAACCAATGCGTGACGTGGAGGAACACGCCGCGTACTCCGCGCGCTGTGTGACCTATTTCCGGCGCGGGGCGGGGTTACCGCTCTACACTCAACACAGCTGACCTCATTTTTTTTTCTCCTTTTGTCAGCTGGGAACTCCGTTACTAGAGGTCTAGATCTATCGGCTGTTTTTAATTTACTTAGCTCACATCTTCAACGAACATTGGCGTTAAGTTAACCCTTACTTGCAATTTGCATCCTGGGTGGTGGCGATTGGAGCTAGGGTTGAGGTAGCCACCGATTGACTGTTTTTGTACATAAAAATACTTAGCTAGGCTATGTTTAATCTTTAGAAGCCTAGGTGCTCACTCATCTCCTTCTCCCCCTCTGTCATTCACACTTACGTCATCACTTACAAACTAGGTGCGCGCATCTCTCTCTTTGTGACACTGACAACAATGTTGTGTTTAAGACAATCTACCAAGCTCTTAATCAAATATTAATTTGTAGGTTCATAAATTCACGTATCCAAGGGAGAGAACTTATAACTTAGTACCTAGATTCAAAAGTCGTTAAAACTATGGTTATATTCACTAAAATAAGTAGTAATGAAAATGCGGATGTTTGATTATTAATTTTCTAGATACTAGTATTAGCATATTATACTGCTATTTGTAAATTCCTTATACCTCATAGATTTTAGGATTGTCCTTTGACTTGTATTTTAAATAGGAAACACTTTACTGGAATATATAACAATTGCCTATATTTGAAAAAGTTCAGTTTAATATTTTCTTGTCTAAAGCTGTCATAATTATTGTTTTAATATTTTTTCGAAAAACCTTCAATTAAGTAACTCGTTAGGAGTAACTAGTGTTTGACAGAACTGTAAATGTTTCTATCCCAGGAGAAATTGTCAAAACCAAATGGCAGAATCTGAGAGACTCTTTTGTCAAGTCCCTGAAGAAGAGGTCAGGTCAGGCATCCTCCAAGAAGTACCTGTACCACGACAACCTGCAGTTCCTGCTCAAGGTTCTCCACAAGGAGGACCCGGACTACCACGACACCCTACACTCTAGCTACAGCGAGTTCGGCGAGGACGACTCGCTGCCAGAAGTCAAGAAGGAACCCTGTGATTCTTCCAGCTTCGGCATGAAGGTCTGCATTCCCTTCCTATCCAGGAAGAGAGCTAAGATGCAGGAGGAGCTGGAGAAGGAGCTGGTCAGCTTCAACAAGGCCAACCTGGACGAAGATGAGGCCTTTTTTATCTCGGTGCTTCCGTCTGTGCGGAGACTGTCGGAAGATTCTAGATTGGAATTCCGCATGGGGGTTCTTCAACTGCTGAAGGATATGAATGCCAGAGACAGACAATCAGTTGTGTCTCCTCATGACTCTGCCTATTGACTAAATCTTATTTAACTCCTGGATTTATTGTTGAATATTTATTTTCTTTCTACTGACTCATGATATCATATACTTTTTAAATTGTACATTAAATAAATATCTTCTTATACACTATACACATGTTTTTGATAGAGTTATGGAACCTGAAATTTAAAAAAAATGTTGTATGGTTTATGTATGAGTTGCCTCAGTATGTGATGTTTATGGGGTGAATAGGATATAATATTTACAATAGCTTACTTTATACTATTATTACATTGTGCAACGATTTACAATCAACTCTTCAAGTTTTGTGCAACTCAAGTTGTAGTTTCTGTCTTTGGTTTTCATTATTGGTGTGTTGGCCCATGTGATTTTATGTATTGGCTCGTATGGTTTCATGAGCATGGACCCATGTGGGCTCATGTGATATGGTTTGCCGGCCCATGTGATTTTGTTTGTTGGCCCATGTTTGGTTTGTAGGCCCATGTGATTTGGTTTGCCGGCCCATGTGATTTGGTTTGCCAGCCCATGTGATTTGGTTTGCCGGCCCATGTGATTTGGTTTGTCGACCCATGTGATTTGGTTTGTCTGCCCTTGTGATTTGGTTTGCCGGCCCATGTGATTTGGTTTGCCGGCCCATGTGATTTGATCTGCATAGTGTCTCAACTACCACCTTACCAGTGTGTTGATAGACCTTCTTGTATTTTGTGTTGTATCACTTGGGTCTAAATTAGATCTCTTTGATTCATCTGTTTGTACCCATATGTGTACCTACCGTTTGACACCTTGAGTATCCCTTGAGTATCGGTGTGATTTAAAAGTATACTTGCCCATCAACATTATCTCTCCAAAACTTAGGGTACCACTTAGTGCTAGTGGGGGCTAAAAACTATTAGCAAAAATGTTTGCAATATTTTTTTTTTATTAAATACATTGTTAGTTTAGCATTACATTAAAATTCTACTTTGAAAAAAAAACATTTTTAATGTCAATACAAACTTCTATATGGATAGGTTATGTTTTGCTAAATATACAGGTGCATTTCTCATTTTTGTAAGTTAAATTATGTTGGTAAATATGCATAAATAATATATTTATGGATCTATTATTTATAGCTGAATATGACTAGATTAATTTTATATGGATAAATTTTACTTCATTAAAGAAGTTGTAATAATTGTTACTGTGCTCAGAGCTAAATATTAATTGAAGTTAGTAACCATTTCTTGAATTATCCAAGGGAGGTTACTTGTAAATTTGTACTAAAAAGTCGTTAAAATACGCATATATTTATTAGTGATACAATCCGAAAAAGTAGATTGTTTTTAGTACCTTGCCAGAAATAAATATTCACAGGATTATACGAATAAGTGCCAAATCTTTATACTTTTTATCTGTAAACATTATCATTTGACTCTATTTTTAATACAAAACTGTTATGTGGTAAACATAATCGAAGTCTAGACACGTGAAATTTATTCTTCGATGCCATTGCAGATTGTTTTTCTCGCCCTGTTCGAGCTTTACTTTCTCGTATAAAGAATTTAAGGGATGTATTAATTATATTAATACAACAGTTGTAATTTTCATTCAACTCGTGAGCGATTTCCAGAAAGTATAAGTGATACTTATCCTACTTCCGGTTTCTCTATGACATATAACGTATGCAACATTTAACTTAACTGGACGAAATTTTAAATGGAAGTTTTTGATTGTATGCACAGGTTTATTTCAACTTTATAAATTTCTTATGCAGGCCTAAATATAAGATTGTATATATAAATTCCTCACAAATTTCAAGTGACCTCCTTTATTCGACAATGGTACTTTACTCTTATTTCATGACTCTAAAGTACCGATAGCATCAGTAATGTAGGTCTACCATTGGTACTTTACTCTTATTTCATGTCTCTGTAGTACCGTTAGCATCAGTAATGTAGGTCTACCATTGGTACTTTACTCTTATTTCATGTTTCTAAAGTACCAATAGCATCAGTAATGTAGGTCTACCATTGGTACTTTACTCTTATTTCATGACTCTAAAGTACCGATAGCATCAGTAATGTAGGTATACCATTTCAGGTACACGATGTTTCATACATACGTATACAATCTTATTCTCTTGATTGCTTCAAATTTTGAATGATTTTCGGTGACCGAGAGTAGTGCTTTAGGCTAAAAGTCAAATGACACGGAATACTGGCTCAGGAGTTGGACTCCTATATATAATCTATAACTACCGTTTTCTTAAAATAAGTAAGAATTTGATTTTATATTACTTTAGCTTCGCAATTGCTTTTTTTTTTCTACGCAATTCTATTTTAGAGTATGTGTGTATAAGAGAACGGAAAAATAGTGCCTTATAAAGTTTAAGGGTTATCTTGCTGTATTTCCGATTTCTCTAAAGCCGTCAGAAATCGATAAGCATAATATAAGAAACTGTGTTCTAAAAAAATAAACTTTCTACGTGGGGATGGAAACTCGGGATATAGACATGATTTTTAATCCATTTTAAATTACTTGAACTTTTTAAAAATAGAATAGAATCCCGTAGAAAAAATAATTGCGCACCAAGTGAACGGCAAACAATATGTGTATAATCGTGGCGAGTACCAACTCATACATGCCACAGTACACACAATATCGACACAGTACACACAACACACCAACCCACACGTGACACACAACATCAACCCACACGTGACACAGTACACACAACACACCAACCCACACGTGACACAGTACACACGTGACACCGTACACGCAACATAACTTGACGCTGTCGAATTCGCATTTTTCTAACCTGGATTGCTTCCCAGTTTTACCTTCATATTATCCCCCACCCTGGTTTCCACTCAGGTGCAAAGTTCACACCTTTACCGACCAGGATGTCAAACCCATCTTTCCCACGCTCCACAAGGGGCTTGAGGTACCGCAGACAGGTACGCCTCGCTTACCTGTCTACTCACCTTTGCTTGTGGCACGTGCCAACTCTTTGTTGCAGTTCTCCCTACCATCAAACATGGCGTAACCCCGAGGTTTACCTCTGTTACATGCAGGTACCCCCCTCCTCCCCTCCCCACATACCTACCGTACATCTTCTTCTTCTTCGTTCTTAATTTTTGAATATGGTGGAGGATTCAGACAACAAGTCCAACTTCGTGGACAAACCGGACTGTGGTCTCCAGTTTGTCAGGTGTCCCATATAATTTTTCCCTGAGTGGGGTGGGCTGGGGCCAGTGTCTGACTCTTGCCTGGCTATACAGAGTACATTCCTGGAGTACGTGCTCCGTGTTTTCCGGGGCCTTGCCACAAGGGCACATTTCGCTACACCCAACCTTCAGTTTTCTGTGCATGTGTTGATTTAGTCTGTTGTGGCCTGTTCTAAGTCGAAAGATTATGTATTGTTGTTTTCGTGTTAAATTGTAATGGCCGTCGTCTTTAATGTAGTGAGGGTGTGTGACAGACCACATTTGCGTTTGTTTGTTTTTTATTATTCTTTTTATTTCTTTTGGGTGTAGCGAAATTTCCGGTTGTGGTTTCTTTCCCCCAATTTTTGCCAGCTGGTCTGCGATCTCGTTACCCTGGATCTGGCAGTGGCCCGGGATCCACTGCAGCACAATTCTGCTGCAGGTATTTTTTAGCTTCTCTAGTGCTGTCATAAGTGTTTGAATATAGGACTCTGGATTTTGTAGGGATTGCCCTACCGTACAAATTACGTAGATTTTATCCCCCTGCATCGTATTTCATATAGGCTAATCAAACTCGGAATCTACCAATTATTTATTAAAAACTTAAAAGACGGAACAGGAAAGTATGAGATATGATATCTGACAACTCTTGCGTTAGTTAATGAAAAATAAATAATATTCCGTGCATACATTTTCGTAGTAATCGCGGTCTAGATGAATTTCCCACGTTACATTGAAAAGTGAGTTTTTCTTGTATTTTGTTTTAAAATTGTGGCATAGGCCTACACAGCTGAAAAAAAAATTGTTTAATTTAATTTAACAACTAGGAAAGAGTTATGATGCATATAATGTCCCTTCACCGAGAACACTTCAATTTTATCCCTTTTATTTTGCTTTACTGGCGACCTATGATGTGACGTTACTCACCATCTAACCTATCATTGCCATTCTTACACTCGTTGTATAGTTGAATTGCCGGGCTGTGTTCAAGCTCAACAAAAGCAGGATGAAACACTTGAACACTGTGGATGTTGAGAGTTGGTTGTGTTTGGGTCGCTACTCACATAGACAAGAGGGTAGTCGCTACTCACATGTACAGCACTATAGGGCTGGTAAGTAGGTCAATAAAAAGTTATATGTCTTATGCAGGTTTTATTGAGCCATAGAACTGTTTATTGACCTACTTACCAGCCCTATATGGTGGTTTTTGTAAACCTGAACACCTATGATCAAGTTAAACTTACCCCACCAAGCATTGGGTATTGATGGTTTGCTGAAGACAATTTTTGTGTGTCTTTTCTAGTAAGTTTGACGTTCAATGTATCTAAAAGGGCAGCTCAACATGAACTGGATAGTACTCACCTAGTCATTTGGAGGCAGGGGTGGGGCTGCTAAAGGTGCATAAAATGATGAAATCGTTAGCAGTGGGTAATTTGCTGACTGCGAAATAATTTCTCATTTTAGCTTTATAATCTTTTACATAACATAGGAGTGGGGGGAGGTATATTACTAACGAAGAGCGAGTTATACGGAATATTGAAGCAATTATAGTGTAAGCCCTAATGTTTAATTTTGACATAGCTTAGATTGCACCCACACGCAATCTCATACTTAAAGAAGCGAGAAGTGGCTGTGCTGTGTTTACCCAAATATCGAGACACGTCTTTGGTGTTTACACAACACAGTCTGGCGTTTTGGCACCTGGTGAGCTGGAACTTTGCCATGTGCTGGTCTCGTGTGAACGTGAGTCCAGCTGCTGTGTGTGGGGGGGGGGGGGGGGGTCGCTGTGTGTGTGAGTGGGGGCTGATGTGTGTGTGAGTGGGGAGCTGTTGTGTGTGGGGGGAGCTGTGTGTGAGTGGGGGGAGCTGTGTGTGTGAGTGGGGAGCTCTGTGTGTGTAGGAAGCTGCTGTGTGAGTGGGGAGCTGCAGTGTGTGAATGAGT